AGCAGGTCTGGCAGCATCTGTGGAGGAGAAAACAGAGTTAACGTTTCAGGTCCGGTGACTCTTTCTCAGAACCGCAGTTCTGTGGAAGGGTCACCAGACCCGAAACGCTAACTCTGTTTTCTCCTCCACAGATGCTGCCAGACCAGCTGAGCTTTTCCAGCAACTTTATTGTTGTCGTTCTTGTTGAAAATGCCTATGTATGTCCACTCTATGATTCCTGTACATGAACCAATCCTCTATCCATGCTAATATATCATCTCTTCAACTCCATGAGCTCTTATCTATTAAGAATTTGTGTGGCATCTTCATTGAATATTGTTTGGAAATCCAGGTGAACTACATCTACTTAACAGTAGAAGTTTGAAGACTTGCCTCCCTCTGTTTTTGCCCAGTCTTTTAGATCACAGCAGACATATTGCTTACTTACCTTTAGCAAGGCACCAATGTCCCCCATGAGAGGCAGGGCAGACTGAAATGAAACAGAAACACTTAGAAAAGTGAGAAAAACCATCAGAAAGACAGAAACCCCAGTGACATACCAATTCTCCAAATATTATTTTGGACATCTCAGCATACACTCAATAGGATAATATTATACTGTATTTCTGTACATTAATGGTGAAACAGATTTATGATATTATGTTCTCCACGTGGAACTTTATATAATTGGAGTACATATTATAAATTGTGGCCTGATGATCACATTTATCCTATGGGCTATTGAGCAATTGTTGTGAATGTCCAATGTCTTAAAACAAAGAACAAAGAATAATACAGCACAGGAAAAGGCCCCTTAGCTGTCCAAGCTTGCGCCGACATATTTTGCCCTTCCGTACTAAAAATGTCTTCACTTACAGGATCCATATCCCTCTACTTTCTTCCTATTCATGTATTCATCCAGGTGTTTCTTGAATGCTGCTATTGTGTCTGCTTTCGCTACCGCATCTTTCAGCGCGTTCCAGGCACTTACCACCCTTTGTATGAAAAAGTTGCCTCGCACATCTCTTTTAAACCTCCTCTCTTGCACCTTGAACCTGTGTCCCCTAGTAATTGAACCCTCCATCATGGGAAAAAGCCTCATACTTTCCACTCTATCCATGCCACTCACAATCTTATAAACTTCTATCAGGTCACCTCTCAACCTCCTGTGTTCCAGTGAAAACAAACCCAGTCTATCCAACCTTTCTTCATAGCTAAAATCCCCCATACCAGGCAACATCCAGGTAAACCTTTCCTGTACCCTCTCCAAAGCATCCACATCCTTCTGGTGGTGTCGTGACCAGAACTGTGCGTAATATTCCAAGTGTGGCCTAACTAAAGTTCTATAAAGCCACAGCATAACTTGCCTATCCTTATACTCAATGCCCCGTCCAATGAAGGCAAGCATTCCATAGGTCATTTTTTACTATCTTATCTACCTGCGCTGGTGCCTTCAGTGATCTGTGGTTGACTTGCACATCCATATCCCTCTGCATATCAATACTCCAAAGGGTTCTGCCATTCACTGTATAATTTCCATCTGTACTTGACCTTCCAAAATGCATCACCTCACATATGGCCAGATTAAACTCCATTTGCCATTTTTCTGCCAATGCCTCCAACTGATATATATCCTGCTTTATCCTCTGGCAATCCTCCTCAATATTTGCAACTCCACCAATTTTTGTATTGTCCACAAACTTACTAATTAGATCAGCTACATTTTCCTCCAAATCATTTATGTAGATCACGAACAGCAGAGATCCCAGCACTGATCCCTGTGGAACACCACTAGTCACAACCCTCCATTCCGAAAAGCATCCTTCCACCACTATCTTCTGTCTCCTATGACTAAGCCAGTTCTGTATCCATCTTGCCAGCTCACCCCTGATACCATGTGACTTCGCCTTGTGTAGCAGTCTGCCATGACAGACCTTGTCAAAGGCTTTACTGAAGTCCATGTAGATAAAATCAACCACTTTCCCCTCATCAATCATCTTCATCACCTCAAAAAACTTGATCAAATTAGTGATGCTGTATCACTAATAAGTCCATTTGCTTCTAAGTGCGTGTAGATCCCGTCCCTGAGAATCTTTTCCAATAATTTCCCTACTACTGACGTGAGGATCACAGGTATGTAGTTTTCTGGATTATCGCTGCTACCCTTCTTAAACAATGGGACAACATTGGCTATTCTCCAGTCCTTTGGGACCTCACCTGTGGCCAAAGAGGATACAAAGATGTCTGTTAATGCTCCAGCAATTTGTTCCCTTGCCTCCCTCAATATTCTGGGAGACTTATCTACCTTAATACTTTATAAGACGCACAACACCTCTTCCTTTTTAACAGCAACTTGGTTTAGAAATTCGACACTCCCTTCTCTGAGATTATTCTCCACCAATTCCTTCTCTTTGGTGAATAGCAACATGAAGTACTCATTTAGGACATTACTGATCTCTTCTGGCTCCACACATAAATTCCCTCCTTTGTCCTTGAGTAGGCCAACCCTTTCCCTGGCTACGTTCATGCCTTTTATAAATGTACAAAAAGCCTTGGGATTCTCCTTAATTCTGTTTGCTAACAACTGTTCATGACCCCTTGTAGCCCTCCAAATTCCTCATTTAACTTCTTTCCTACTTTCCTTTTATACTTCCCTGGTCATCCAAAGTTCACATAACTTGCTGTACCTATCCTTTATTCTTGCAGGAATGTGCTGCTCCTGAACTCTCATCAACTGTCATTTGAAATACTCCCACATGTCTGATGTGGATTTACCCTCAAACAGCTGCCTCCAATCAAAATTCTCCAGTTCCTGCCTAATATTGTTGCAGTTCACCTTCCCCCAATTTAGCACCTTCACCCGAGGACTGTAGTTATCCCCATCCATAAGTATCTTAAAACTCAGGTTTTATGGTCACTACTCCTGAAATGCTTCCCTGCCTGAAACTTCATTCACCTGGCTAGGCTCATTTCCCAAAACCAGGTCGAGTATAACCCCTTCCCGGGTTGGGCTGTTTACAAACTGTGTCAAGAAACCTCCAAAATGGTCCTCACAAATTCTGCTCTTCTGAGCCACTAGCACGAAATGAGTTCCAGTCAATATAGGGGAAGTTAAACTCACCCACCACAACAACCCTGCTGTTTTTACATCTTTCCAAAATCTGTCTCCATATTCTCTCCTCTCAGTCCCACTGGCAGTCCCACTCTCAGTCCCCAGCATTGTGATTTCATCTTTCCTATTCCTGAGTTCTACCCATATTGCCTTGCTGCACGAGGGGTCCTTTGATGTATCTCCCTCAGTACAGCTGTGGGATACTCCTTTACTAGTAATACAACTCTCCCATCCCTTTTACATCCCTTTCTATCACACCTGAAACATCTAAATCCTGGGACATTTAGCTACCAGTTCTGTCCCTCTTTTAGCCAAGTCTCCGTAATCACAATAATATCATTGTTCCAAGTATTAACCAAAGCTCTAATTTCACCTACCTTGTCTATTATACTTCTTGCATTGATACACATGCATTTCAGATCACCTCCCCTGCTCTTTTCAGCAGTGTTTCCCTGCCTGTTCTTGTTCTTAGTCATGTTTCCCTTGGTTTCTACCTCTCTATCAATTTCTGCATCTACTGCCCTACTCCTCTGTTGTCCATTCCCCACGAGTTTAAACCCGCCCCAGCCACTCTACCAGCACCTCCCCAAGGATATCAGTCTTGGTCCTGCTCAGACGCAACCCGACCAGTTTGTACAGGTTCCACCTCCCCCAGAACCGGTCCCAATGCCCCACAAACCATATTTTCAGCCACATGTTCATCCGGTACGTCCTCCTGTTTCTACTGTAGCTCATGGCACTGGTAGTAATCCTGAGACCTTTGAGGTCCTACATTTTAACTTTCTTCCTAGTTCTCTACATTCTGCTTTTAGGACCTCATCTCTTTTTTAACCTATGTCGTTAGTATCAAAGTATACCACAACCACTGGCTGTTGCCCTCCCCCTCCAGAACGTCTTGCAGCCACTCCAAAACATCCATGACCCTAGCACCAGGGAGGCTACACACTTTCCTGGACTCTTACATGCGGCCATAGAAATGCCTAACTATTTCCCCTAATGATTGAATCCCCTATAACTATAGCATTTCTATGCCTATTTCTCCTTCTCTCTGCAGCAGAGCCAACCATGGTACCATTAAATTGGCTGCTGCTGTTATCCCCTGAGAGGCCATTCCTATCAACAATATCCAAAAAGGTATAGCTGTTTTGCAGAGGAATAGCCACAGGAGATTTCTGCATTGCCAGCTTAGCCCTCTTGCTCTGCCTAGTGGTCATCCAGTCCCTTCCTGCCTGTGGTCTGAATCTGTAGTGTGACCACCTCTCTATATGTGCTATCCACGATACTCTCCGCCTTGCAAATGCTCCACAGCGTACCCATACACCATTCCAAATCCGAAATTCAGGCATTCAGGAGCCGCAATGGAGACACTTCTTGAACAGATGCAGGTCCCGGGCACTGGAAATGTGCCCAGCTTTCCACATTGATCAAGAATCTTACCATGCTGGGTGCCAGTTTTCATTAAAAGCCTAATTAAGATATAATTTGCCTACCATGTACCAACTCTGTACAGCAAAGCTTACATGAAATGATATTGTTACCTCTTCTCTATAAACTACCTCAGAGCAATAAATTATTCAGTGTCTTTCATGTCATTGTGACAATAGTGACTATGGTGATATATGTGCTATACCTGTCTAGTCTGCAATAATGGTTCTACTTGGAAAGGAGTTCAGAACCTTTAAGCACTCTGGCATGTGGCTGTATATCAATCATTATACAATGCCACTGTTAAAGTGGCCAAAACACATGATGGAAAATAAAAAAAACAATCTGATTTGCCCTGGTCAGATAACACAAGGTGACTACAAAACCTAACAACTTGTTTAGAAAATCCATATTGTTGCTCATATTCTTTGAGAAAAAGACCCTGTGCCTGTCTTTCTATGCTGTTCTACAATTGACTGCAGGTGTACACTTTTTGCTTGACTTGAATGCCTTAAGGCAGCAAAGGAGAGGAAACTGGGAAGTGAGGTGTTTTTTCCAATTCTTACAACGATCAGCATGAAATGCAGGTTCCAAATATTCCCAAAATCTACTCCCCACTGAGAACATGATGACAATAAATTACTCACATAATCCTGATGGCAGCTGAATTGAAATCCAGTTAAAAAGTTTCTACTGTAAATGTCCACAGCCTCTTTTAGACCATAAGACCAAAAGGTAAAGGGAGCAGAATTAGGTCATTCAGTGCTTTGTGTCTGCTTCGCCATTTGATTATGGCTGATAAGTTTCTCAACCCTATTCTCCTACCTTCTCTCTGTAACCTTTGATCTGCTTACTAATCAAGAACCTATCTATCTCTGTCTCAAATACACTCAATGACTTTGCCTCCATAGCCCTCTGTGGCAATTCAGTTCCACTGATTCACTACCCTCTGGCTGAATTCCTCCTCATCTCAGTTCTAAAGGGTTGCCTCTTCACTCTGAGACTGTGCCCTTGAGTCCTAGTCTTTTCTACTTGTGGAAACGTCTTCTCCATGTCCACTCTATCCTTGTCTCTCAGTATTCCGTAAGTTTCAATGAGATCCTTTCTCATCCTTCTAAACCCCATTGAGTACAGCTCCAGAGTCCTTCACCATTCCTCTTATGACAGGCCCTTCGTCCCTGGGATCATTCTTGTAAACCTCCTCTGGACCCCCTCCAATGCCAGCATATCCTTCATTAGATATGGGACCCAAACTGCTCACAAAATTCCAAAGGCGGTCTGACCAGACCCTTATACAGCCTTAGTAGTATGTCTCTGCTCTTGTATTCTAACTCTCGTGAAATGAATATAACACTGCATTTGCCTTTTTAACTGCCAATTGAACCTGCATGTTAACCTTAAGAGAATCCTGAACCAGGACTCCTAAATCCTTTTGTGCTTCAGATTTCTGAAGCGTTTTCCCCATTTAAATAAAAGTTTACGCTTCTATTCTTCCTACCAAAGTGCATAATCTCACACTTTCTCACCTCGTATTCCATTTGTCACTTCTTTGCCCACTCCTAGACTGTTCAAGCACTTCTGAACCCTCCCCACTTCCACAACACTACCTGTCCCTCCACCTATCTTTGTGTCATCTGTAAACTTAAAGAACTGCGGATGATGTAAGTAAGAAGCAAAAATGGAAATTGTTGTAAAAGCTCAGTAGGTCTGGCAGCATCTGTGGAAAAAAATGAAAGTTAATGTTTCGGGTCGAGTGACCCTTCCTCAGAACTAAGGATCACTCGACTCGAAATGTTAACTCTGATTTCTATCCACAGATATTGCCAGACCTGCTGTGCTTTTCCAGCAATTTCTGTTTTAGTTGTTGAAAGTTTAACTCTTTCAGTTTTGTTGTGAATTAGAATTGGATTCCAACCCTCAACTGTCTCTCTGATGTTTCACAAAATATTGAGATGTGATCTTAATGTTTAGAGTATGGACCCTTAACTCCAAGGTCTAGGTGAAACTTCCTCTGTGCTGGTTTATATTGACTAACTCAATACGAGTACACTGAAATCTATTTAGCTAGCCTGCACCACTGCAGAACCTTTTCTACAGCCTCCTATCCCAATATTATTTTAATATATTGCCTGTATTTATTACAAGGAATATGTAAGAGGTGCTAAAATAAGTGCAGCCTTTGACAAACCTCTAATATTGGTCTGGGATCAAGGAGGATACCAAACTAAATATCTTTTAAGAAACAGTCCTACCACTCTGCTATATGTATCTCTATCAGTCACAATTGTGTTGAGTAGACAAACAGGAGGCTGGAAGAACACAGCAAGCCAGGCAGCATCTGGAGGAAAAGATGTTTCGGGTATTACCCTTCTTCAGGACTGTGTTGGGTTGTTCATGGAGCCAGAATGGCTGACACCTGTTTACCAAAGTGAAGCCTCTGTAGAGAATTTGGTCTGGGGTATTCTGTCATGTCAGTTGAGGAAAATTCTACAAGTACACACAGACAGCTTCATTTAGAAGTTTTGATATTGACTGTAAGACATGGCACCTAAAATCTTGGCACCTGACACCGTCAGATCAAAACAATGGTGCTACCTCCTTCAAAAACAAGCATGTATCAAAAGCAGGGAGAAAATACTGGGGGAAGGAAGCCTAAGTCAGCAATCGTCCAAAACTGAATCGCCTGCCATATCCTGTACTAATGACAACAGAACTTAATGGCCACAGATAGGCCTTAGTAGGCACCTATATGCCCACTAGAAACCTATGAAACACACAGATGGAGAACCTGATCATTTTTACCTGAAGGACAAACAAAAATAAACGAAATATTCTTCTGTCTTTATGATAGAAGGTGTGTAATGGCTCTTTGAGGGCAATACAAAGCCTTTACTTACTGGCTCCCCAGGTGGTCCTGGTGGCCCTGGCATTCCATTGCTCCCAGGGGTACCCTGCAAGAGAATCAAGGAGGGCATCAGAGGACTCAGAACCTTGTCACAGTTTACCACAGTGCAGAGACTGATGGGCGTTTTGTACTTACATTAACACCTGGCCTTCCGAACGCTCCTGGCAAACCTTGTGGACCCTGAATTGGAAGAATAAAAAACTGTTCAACAGTCTAAATCCTGTTTATTGCTCTCCTTACTAAACACTCATTTCAGAGAGTAATTAAGAGTCAACCAAGTTGTTGTGGGTCTGGAAACACAGGGACAGACCAGGTAAGGATGGCTAATTTCTTCTCCTGAAGAGTGCTAGTGATGGGCTTCTCAGCCATCTGGTCATTTCACGATCACTATTAATGAGACTATTATTTTATTTCAGATTTATTAATTGAATTTAAATGTCCCCAGATGCTGTGGTGGGATTTGAACTCAGTACTCCAGTATATTAGTTCAGGTCTCTGGATTGTTCATCCAGTAATATTAGCACTATGTTACTTCTCCCTTCACAATCTCAGAGACATCAAAGCTTTGTGAAAACTTTGTGAAAGCAGTTAAAGTGCGAATCTCATTGGACTGATTGAATTTTCAAATGATATTTATGTGAGGTAAACCCAAAACATTAGTTCAAACCAGGTCAAGAATGTCGGACTGCAGGTCTGATGTTTGGATATGTGTGTTAGGGAAAGGAACTTCCTTCTTAAAGGCTGCCAAGTGTATTGAATGTGTTGTTCAGAAAAGTAACTGAACAAAAACAGAGCAGGACACAGTTAGGTAACATGACAGAAAAAGGCTGGAATACTGATAAGTTTCAGGAGACAAAATGACCTGTTCTAATGTCAACATTCACCATATTTGAATTGATGAGATTCAAGGCAACAATGCTTCTACCGTAGAGATAACACAATATGGAGCTGGAGGAAGAAAGCAGGCCAGGCAGCATCAGAGGAGCGGGAAAGTTGTCGTTTCGGGTCAGGAACCTTCTGCAGAAAATTGTATTGTATTTGTACTTGTTTAATCTTTATTGTTATTGAAAAAATCCTTACCCTTATACCTGGCTCTCCAGAAGGACCTCGTGGACCCTATGAGAGATGAAGGAAAAAAAAAGCTGTTTAAATTTGTCCCAATTTTAATTCATCTCTTTCAATCACTCTATAGTACTTCCTAACATGTATTTCTAGATTTGAAGTTCTCAGGGGTGTTGCTCCCATAATGGTAGGAAGGAGATTCCAGTTTGTGGTGCTGACAATAGCAATTGAACAGCCATATATGTCCTTGTTGAAATGCTGAGAGACTTTCCAAAAAGCTTGGAGACAATGATGTTCCCAATTATATGGTTGTTCTTCTAATTTTCTTCTCAATGATAGAGATATTAGGGGGCTAGAAGATAGTGTCAAGCTAATGGCTCTAAAGAAAATAAAGTCTCGGAGGTACTGATAGAATTTTTATACTCACTGGGGGCCCAAGATGGCCAATTCCAGGTGGTCCTTTCTCACCTTTTGGACCTTGAAGACCTGGGAATCCACGCTCCCCCTAATAAAACAAACCTCAGTGTTATCATCAAGATGAACTATAGAAGCATTATTCTTATTATCTACACAGCTGTGGAATAAAATGCAGCAGTTATCAAGATTTAGTCATTGGCACCTTTGATTTATTCATGAGCATTCCGTCTCAAATTTCACATGAAAGCAATATACCGACTAAAGATTAAGTGATTACTGTGTCAAATCTTTCAGTACGCATGAATCTTAATCACAGTAGTTCAATCACGTAATGACCAATGATAAAGTACATTTCTAAACTGAGGTAATGATGTTAGGTCCCTGTGAAAACACCAGAGATGCCTTTTACCTACATTCATAGATAGGGAACATGACAAGAATTGCTGTCATTAGCTTGGTTGGCCTTAATCATCACTCCTTAGAGACTGGATGATCTGATACACCGACAGCCTCAGAGCTGGGCATTGGTAGTTTGGGACTCTGCAACAAGGAAGGTCAGGGAGTATTGGGTGGGGGAGAGAAGGAAGACCTAGGGACGAGTTCCCTACCACCCTGGCTAGAGAGTAGAATACTACCTTCACAATTTTAATGAGACCAGCACATTCCACATCAACAGCCTGTTTGTCCTCTGGGACCATTGAACCATCCCTGATTGTCATTGTCATATACTTTAAAACATAGAACAGTTCAGCACAGCACAGGCCTTTCGGCCTACGATGTTGTGCCGACCTATTATCCTACTCTAAGATCAAACTACCCTGCATACCCTACATTTTACTTTCATTTACTTTTATTTTCTTTATCTAATTAAGTAACACATCATATCTAAACTGCTGCTTCTTAACAAACTCAACAAACTGTCATAAAATTGCTGCAAATGATTGACTGTCTGTATTAGGTAATCAGGATCATGAACCACCAACAACAATAGTGAAAGGATTGGGATCTAGGAGCCAAAAGGCCTTTTGATTATTCTGTCCACTTTGGTCTGATGATTTTAATAACTACTTTTTATTTAAGGGTGCCATTTCTCCCTGATCTTTTGTTTCACCACTCACTATTTCCCTGGGTTGCAAACTTCTCCCAGCTCAGAGCACATTCTGTGATCACACGCCTCTGAACTTGGAGAATGGGGTGTTCATTTCTCATTTCTGCTTCCTTTCTCAGATGTACAATGCAATGACATGACTGGAGGTTCATTCACAATTGCTTACCAAAGCTTGGAATTACCATGGTTTGATTGCAACATTGATTGACAGGTCAGTTTACTATTACCTTAGATCCCCGTGAACCTCGTGTCCCAGGTGGACCAACTGGCCCCTAATTGAAACAGGAAGCCAAACAGTTGAAGGGTTAAAATAAAAAGTATTTGATTTATCAGAACAGATATATTTTCATTTCTTTATCTCCTCCTTCTCCACAATGACACAAACCTCATTTCCTTGTAATCCTGTCCCGGGAGATCCAGGGTCACCTTTGTCTCCTTTCTCTCCAGGCGGTCCAACAGCATCCCCAGAATCTCCCTGTAACCACAGTAACAGTTTACACAAAAGTAATTCTTCAGACTTACACTGTCAGAGCTAAAAACTGTACCCAGCAGCAAAAGAGCCATGGATCTGGGATTATTCTAAGGAAGAAATGGGCAAATGCATGAGGAAGTCCAAGTAGAACTCTTGTCTTTACAACAGTAAATATTCAAAAGGGAGGGCATTCACCTGGAAGTCAGGTGAGCAGGATGCTGAATTAATCCCTACAGTTACCTTTGGAAAGAAATAATTTGCATTTGTATAGCTCCTTTCACATATTCACATGTTATTAAACTAGAAAGAGTGCAGAAAAAAATTACTAGGATGCTACCTGGACTGGAAGGTTTGAGTTATAAGGAGAGGTTGGATAAACTGGGACCTTTCTCCCTGGAAAGTAGGAGGCTAAGGGGCTGACATTATAGAGGTCTATAAAATCACAAGAGTCTTAGATAAGGTAGATAACCGACAGCTTTTCCCCACAGAAGGGGAGTCTAAAACTAAAGGGCATAGGTTTAAGGTGAGAGGACAGAGATACAAAACGGCCTAGACAAGCAACTTTTTCACATAGAGAGTGGTGAGTGTCTGGAATGGGCTGCCAGAGCTCATGGTGGAAGCGAGTACAATTTTGTCATTTAAGAAACATTTAGACAGGTACATGGATGGGATAGATATGGAGGGAAATGGAAAAAACGCAGGCAAATGGGACTAGTTTAATTGTGAAAATTGCACGGCACGGCCAAAGAGCCAGTTTCCAAGCTGTAGACCTCTATGACTTCCCCAGATGTCCTGCAGCCTTTTGTAGCCAAAGAATTTTGTCAATGGCTTTTGTTAGGCTGGGAAACCAGACTACCAATTTATACGTAGCAACTTCCCAAAATACAACAAATGTGATCAATAACAATTTTATTTGTTTTGGTGGATTCAATTTAGGGATTAATGTTGACTGAAATCCTATTTTACTGAAGAAAAGCAGTGTCTTGTGGGTACTTTTCTGTCAACACAGTGGGCAAAATTTAATGGGGAGGGAGTTCTCCTGTCCTGTGGACTATTAGCTGGCTGGAGGTGGGACCTCTGCTTGCAACCCAGGAGGAAGCCCCACATCAAAGAGCTGCTGGCTGGGTCAGAGGGACTGCCACTGCTGGTGGTATGGCCAGTTCCACGAGCTAGTCCCAGAGACAGGATGGGGGCGACTATGGAGTTGGGAGGAGGTGGTAGGTATAAGGGTGATAACAGGAGGAGTGGAGGGGAAAGGGGGCTGCATATGCAGTGATGTCCACCACACTCCACCACTTGCCCTGCCCAAGGTCCATGTAAGGTAGCCTATCAGACATCCCAAAACCCCCTCCACCCCATCCTTTTTCCTATCGTGGCTAGGGGAGAAAATGGCAATTCATTAAGCACTTAAATTCAAGGATTAGGTCAGCAAAATTAAATCCTTATGGGTGAGGGGGCTCTGAATGATTGTTACTACAGACTGACTGTGTTGCAGTGTTCACTTCAAGTATTTACAGTCATGAGCACCATTGGCAGTTTTTAAACAAATATAACAGGCATCAGAGTTACGAAACATAAACTCCCTGTTATCCAGCATATATGGGGAATAGGGTGTGCCAGTTACATAAGAGATACTCTTATAGAAACCCAATACAATACTCCCTAGCATTCTTTGAATTAAAAATATTAAATTTAAATCTCACAAGGGCACTGCAATTTATTCGCTGGATTCTGGCAACTCTGATAATGTTTCACCAGCTCAGACTTGCATCTCAAACAGCAGCTGATGTCCAGAGCTCAGAAGATAGGGATTTAGCCCCTCTTGAATAAATTTCTTATATCTACCTGCTTGCATCATTTCATTCTCTATGTATGACGATACTGCGGCTTTAAGTGTTGTATTTTGTCCTGGTTATTTTTATGAAGAAAGGTTGAGACAAAGGTACAAGCAGTCTGCTCCAAAGCCAATAAGATAAACAGCTTGCAAGGCCTTGGAGTTTGTTTTGAAGTTGGAACAATAGAAGTAGCCTGAATGGGTGGGGTCAAGCTCCCACAGAACCAGGATTTGTAGTTTCAGTTTTTCAGTTGTTGCTGTTGGGGTCTTGAAGCTGGATGTGAAAGCTGTTTTTCCTCTTTCTGTTACAGCTAAAAGTTGGGGTTCTCTTCCTGCTGCTAGAATTGCATGTGAGACAATCTATTTTACTGAATTTGCCTCTGCCAAGATTGCGTTTATGGGGTGCCGCGATATTGGAACAGTTAATTTATAGCAGTTAATATATATGTTATTATGTTAAGCATTCTGATAGAGTTACACTTAAGCCACTTTTTTAAAATTTTGTCTGTAATTTAACTACTGTGCACAAATAAAGTTTGTTTTAAAGATTTTGACAAGATTTGTAGCTCGGATTATGGATGAAGTTGTAGGCTTGCTTGCCCAGCCGGTGTGTTTGGTTACAGACGCTTCGTCACCCTACTAGGTAATTTTGTCAGCGTGCCTCTGGTGAAGTGTTGGTGTTCTGTCCCACTGGTTATTTATGTGCCTAGGTTTGCTGGATAAGGCATTGAAAATAGATCAAACATATAGAATCTTCATAGCACCCCTGCAGTGTGGAAACAGGCCCTTCAGCCCAACAAGTCCACACTGACCCCTGAAGCATCCCACCTGGACCCATCCCCTCATAACCCACCTAAGCTACACATCCCTGAACACTACAGGCAATTTAGCACAGCCAATCCACCTAACTCCACATCTTTGGACTGTGGGAGGAAACCGGAGCACTTGGAGGAAACCCACGCAGACACGGGGAGAATGTGCAAACTCCACACAGACAGTCACCCAAGCGTGGAACTGAACCCGGGTCCTTGGCGCTGTGAGGCAGCAGTGCTAACCACTGAGCCACCGTGCCACCCCTAAAATATGATGCTCTTAGAGAGATGATTATTTTAGAGGAATTAAAAAATTCACTTCCTGAAGTAGTGAGAACTCATGTGGAAGAGCAGAGAATTAAGACTGCAAGATTAGTATCAGAAATTCTAGGTGATAATGAGCTGGTTCATAAATCAAAGTTTGTATTCTGACATCGATTTCAATCTGTGATGGATAGAAGTTAGGGAAAAGAGAAATCCTGAAGTGGTAAGGGAAAAGGAGATCTCATTGAAGATAGTAAATATAGCTTACCACAGGGTAAAACGGAAATCCATGAGGGGGAAAGAGAAGTAAAAATGCTCACATGTTTTCACTGTGAGATACAGGAGCAAGTCAATCTTTGATGGTGAGAGGTGAGGAGATATGTAATTTGGAAGGAGTACTGCCAGAAGAAGTTGTAATATGTGGAATTCATGGTGGGAAGAGCAGTGTTCTATTATATAAAGTGAGGTTGGAGAGTCTGATGAAAAGTAGTAAAGTGATGGTGGGAATAATACAGAAACTTTTGGTGCTGTAAATATAGTTTACCTTGGTAATGACATAGTTGAATCACATGGGAGTGTAGTTAAAAACTCAGTGCAAGATCAGGCAAATATATCCTGGGATGTTTCATGATTGCATGGTAACAAGGTCACAAAGCCCCAAGTGGAAACAGGAGGAGAAATCAAACAGTAAAGTTTAACTATCAGAGACTACATTTGATCAAATGGTTGTGAGAAAAAAGGCAACTGATGGAGGACAAGGTGGATATTTTTAGTTCAGAGAAATTAGTTGAATTAGAACAAAGATGAAAAACTAAACCAACTGTATCAAAAAGCATACACAGAAGAAGAATCTGAGTGTATCCCAGAATGTTACAACCTTAAAAATGATGTCTTGATGAGGAGATGGAGACCATCACATATTCAAATGGATGAGAAACGGGCAGAAGTTCATCAAGTGATATTACCGGTGGGTTATAGAAATGAATTGTTTTGGGTAACACATGAATTATCATTAGGAGGTCATTTGGAAGTAAGGAAATCTCAAGCTAAAATACAAAAGTGTTTTTCTTAGCCTGGACTGCATAAGGATGTAGTTGAATTTTGCTGGACGTCATATGTGTCAGGTAATTGGAAAACCTCAGGCAGTGATGAAACCAGCGCCCTTAATATCCACTGCATTTGAGGAAGCTTTTACAAGAGTCTTAATTGAGGTCTCCCTCATTTGATGAATTCATACTCTACCATGTTGAACAATACTTAGAGGAAGGACTGAGGATGGCAAGGGCACAAAATGTATTCTGGGTGGGGGATTTCAATGTCCACCACCATGAATGGCTCAGAAGCAGTACTACAGATCAAGCTGGTCGGGTCCTAAAGGACATAGCTGCTAGACTAGGTTGCGGCAGGTGCTGAGGGAATGAAAAGGGGGAAAACATACTTGACCTCATCTTTACCAATCTGCTAGCTGTAGATGCATCTGCCCATGACAGTATTGGTAAGAGTGACGCCCTTGTGGAGATGAAGTCCCGCCTTCACATTGAGAATAACCTCCATCATGCTGTGTGGCACTATCAACGTGCTACCTGGGACAGATTTCAAACAGATCTAGCACCTCAACGCTGGGCATCCATGAGGCATTGTGGGCCATCAACAGCAGCAGAATTTTACTCCAGCACAATCTGTAACCTCGTGGCCCGGCATATCCCCCATTCAACCATTACCATCAGCCAGTGGTTCAATTCTGGTTCAATGGAGTGTGCAGGAGGGCATGCCAGGAACAGCACTCACTGGAGGAGAAAGCTCCATAAATATTCCCTTCCTCAATGATGGAAGAGCCCGGCACATCAGTGCAAAAGATAAGGTTGAAGCTTTTGCAGCAATCTTCAGCCAGAAGTGCTGAGTGGATGATCCATCTTGGCCTCCCCAGTGGCCCCCAGCATTACAGGTATGAGTCTTCAGCTAATTTGATTCACTCCACATGATATTAAGAAACAGGTGGGATACTTCAAAGGCTACGGGCCCTGAACACATTCTGTAATAGTACTCAAGACTTGTGCTCCAGAACTTGCTACTCCCCTAGCCAGGCTGTTCCA